CGAAACAGGCTTTCAGGAGTTGTTCTGCTCGTGCCGTTTTATCGACTCAATTTACAATCTTGTAAATTAGTTTGACGCGAAGTTTCACGCCCTCAGCACTTCCGATTTTATTGAGAAAATTGTTACTTCTAACCAACACAACATTACCCTCAATATTTCTTTTGTGTTTTTATGCAAGTGGAGATTCTTTGTTGGTAATTGAGAGTATTTGTTGATGCCGGATTGGAGATTTGCTGCTAAGTTGCGTACCAGTTATGCGCAACGTCATCTACTGTCTATGTGACACAGGGATAGACACGCAACGATAAAGTGGCTTCTTGTGACAAGCAGGTCCCAAATGGATGGCGAAAATCAGTAACAGGCGGCCATCGACAAAGACAAGGGACCGAGCCCCAGGTATTCCACACCTCGGGGTTGGGTATGGTTGGCTGGCGACGGCCAATAATCCAGAAATGGGCATTCCAGTCTCCCTTTTTTTTCGGCAATGTAATTCTGCCTATATCACGCGCCGCTGTGCGGCCGCTGGTTGGGTTGGAGTAAGAGAGCCCTAAGGCACAACGGGACGAGTGAGTTCCGTGACACGACCGGTGAGCGCCCTTCCATCAGTGTATATTCCTGATCGAGACGGACCGGACAACGAGCCCGTGGTTCAGTGGTTAGACGCGCACGACTTCTAATTAACCGGTCGCGAGTTCGAGCCCCAGGTGTTCCACATCTCGGGGTTGGGTATGACTGGCCGACGACGTCTAATAAGCCAGAAATGGGCATTCCAGTCTCCCTTGTTTTTGTCAGCAATGCTATTCCGCCTACGTCATGCGCCGCTGTGCGGTTGCTGGCTGGGCTCGAGAGAGAGCCCTAAGGCACAACGGGACGAGTGAGTTCCGTAAAAACGATCGGCAAGTTCACACATTTGAGGAGTGTGTGTCACTTGCGGGGTAGTGCATTTCAGTCGCAGACTGACTGCTTACCCAGCCCTTGAAAGGTGAAGGGTCAGGCAAATGCAGAGCTGTATGTCACCCTTCTGAGCCCCAAGGTCTGTGGATGTCAGCAAACCATGGCCCTCAAAGCCTGGTCTGCGCTCGCAGTTCGCCGATACTTGGTTCTCTGGGGGTGATGCGCTTGCGCTCTCGCTGGGTATACAGGTCGCGTGCATGGCTGCCCAGTCATCCACGTCCCTTCTGTTATTGTTGGTCAAAATCCTGGTCAAGTGTTTGTTGTGGACCAAGGGGTATGGAGTGGAGCGCCACGGTGTGAGTCCGGTCGCGCCATTCACCTGCGACCTCCTTGCCTCTGGTCTTCTTGGCTCCGCCTTGACATCGGGCCCAGGTGGGGAGGAGGAGAGGGTGCGGTAGATGGTACGCAAGTCAACTCTCAATATAAACAAATTCACACGAAAGTCACTGTGCCTGCTTCATCTTGGTGGAAATCGTCAGATGCGACGGTCGAACTATCATAGTGCAGAAAGGGAGAACCTTTCGAAAAGCATGGTTCTTACTAACTGAATCGAAAAGGCGTTGCCGTTTGCATAACTGACAAAAAACTTTAGTCCCATCGCTCTTTGACGCCAAGCATTAAAACGTGAGAGGATAGGCCGATAACTAGTTAATTTTTAATCAGGCGCTTTGTATTTCTGCTGAAAATTAGCCCTGGGAGAAAAGACCTACGCAAGAATTACATGGTTTAATGTTTTTATGTCAGAATATGCAGGTGATTGATGGGAGATTCAGTGGGCGTTTGCTCTTAAAAACGAAAGAGATCAGTGTTGGAATATTTCTACATAGACGCATGACTGATCAACCCCGATAGAAACAATTTTACGGCAGTGATTGGGAGCAACTCGACGTCATTGCTGTGAGTGGCGTGCGAGCGAATGAGCGTTAATGGAAAAGAAAACTCGCATCGTAGGAATTAATTCAGGAGAAGCATAATTTCGATCAACCAGAAAATACGTAAAGCTGCCTAAAATTTTAAACTCAGGCTCCATTTTATCATCAAAAAGAAGACTAAAAATGGAAAGGAGTGGAGGCTCAGCGACTCGCCTTCTTCGAATATCGATCTGTGCTTCTCCTGTTTTTTCTTCCTCCTTGGATGATGGTTAGAAGGAGGCTCTTCATCATTTTGGTGTCTCTTAGCCTTCTCCCTGACGGGTGAATGTCTAGAATGTTCTTTTGATGCCGGGTGGGATTCTGAGTCTAAATGGTACTCTAGAAAGCGAAAGGTTGTCGGAATTTAGTCTAGACTGCAAACGTCAAAATACAAGCATTTCTGAGAGATCTATGTGCAAAGCACCGGTCAGTAGTGCACTTTCTCTTCTTCCAACCCAGAATGAAAAGGATGTCGTTTAAAAACTCGAAAATACGACGCAAGCATTGACCCTATGGTGACATCCGAGACGCGGAACAAAACTGGCGAAACCGAGGCAGAATAAGCCTCTTATTAGATGTTCGCACGAAATTAAAGCTGCATTTGTCAGAAAACCGGCCGACTCGTGATAGATAGGTTCCCACTCCGACGATGGAAAGCCTTAACCATCGTCAGCGCCTATGCCACTGCAATGACGAGCAGTGAGGTTTGAGTCTGTGCCGAATTCCTGTAAACTTGCTGTCAAGGGAACTTAGATGAGCGAGTCTGTAGGAGGTAAAACCTGCGTGGGGATGACCGGTCGTTGACTATTTTTATGGCAAAGAAGTCGTTAATAAAGTCCCAGGTATCACTCGTCAAGCAGTTTTTTTGTGGTCAAGTCAGGAAATATGCCCTCATCTGTACACAGGAACCATCTATCGTAGGCATAAATTGAACACATTGGGGGAAAACCATGAGAGGTTAATATTGAAAAGGGATCCATTCACACAGAAAACGGGTGCGTCCCTTACTACAACGAACCCGATGAGTTCGGACTCATCATGACAGTCGTGAATTGGAAGTTAGCCAACTGAAGGGGCAACTCGGTTCTACTAAGGAAAGTGAGACAAAGGTGACGCAAGTCTGCGTCGCCAAAACAAATGCATGAACAAGTCGCTGCTGGAGCCTACTCATGGGACAGCGGTGAACCATGTGCCCGCGACGTCGAACTATCATAGAAAAGACACGTTTGAAAGGTTAGTAGACTGGCATCGTTAACGCCCACCCGCCCAAGACAGGCCGCGAATTTCCTGAAATATGCGCACAGACGAGGTATGAATTAGGAGGCACCGGACTGGGAACAACATGAGAAAGTCTTAAATATAAGTGGCGACAGATACAAGCAATCCCCAGGGGGATCGGATGCAATGAACGCATATTGGTGGGAGCTTGGGCTGGTCATGGTTAAAAGTTTATTTGTGTTTTTTGCACTATTCAATGCCTGACGACGAGCTGAAGAAACAGTCTTGATGTTTTTTTGTAATTGAGTTTTTCGTTTTAAAAGAAACCGGCATACTTTTAACTACATTTTTGGGGATGCCTGCTTCTCAAAAATAAGCAAACACACACGATGCAAAGAAAGTACGAGATCTTGCCTTCTTCAAACACCGGCTGATGCTTTTTACGTTTCTTATCCTTTCTCGGACTTCTAGTTTGATGACCGGAAGCAGACTGATCATCGTTCGGGTGTTTCTTGGCGTCGTCCTCCTCCATGTCTGGTAAATGTCTAGAATGTTTTCGCGGCGGTGGGATAATTTTCGAGTCAAATTCATGCTCTAACAGAAAAAGAAAAGACTAGGGAGTTTAAAACGCCAAATGAAATCGTATTTTCGGAAAGTTAAGGCAGATACCACCCCAGGAGATGAGCGATACAGGCGCGAGCCCAGTAATGAGCAGTGTTTATAAAGGTTTATAAAGGACTCAATACAGACGTGCGGTAGAATCGGCGGAAGGTCGTCTCTAGCAGTTGAGGACTGTCCTCCCCCCCCTCTCCGTTTACACATTCAGTAATCCGAAGACCCCTACTGCCATAAAGTGGCTGGGCATGAGGCAGCATGGTGGATCGCATTTGGCATATTACGCTGATATGAACATCCTGCCAGAAGTGCCAAATTTCTTATAGGTGTTAGGGTAATGGAAGACGACGAGAACTGAGCAATACCAATAACCGCCAAACAAAACGTCAATTTGTCCGTCAAAATGGCACACGAGGAGAGGAAAATGAAAAAAAATACCTATGCGATTATCTGTTAGAGACAAAGACGTAAAACTGACATTTCATTTAAATGGGCGAATGAATAAGTGCAACTGACTTCTCATTCAATAAAAATGTGGTACTAAACTGACCTGAGTCGGAGTCGCTGAAAATGACACATCGCTTCCTTTTCGACATGACGATAATGTGACTCGGAAGTCAGTCTGACTGAATTCTTCGACTCAAGCTCTGGGAAGGGAAAAAATAAAGTCAAGGGATCTACAAATCAGCATTAGAAGAGGCGTGTGTGACGCAGAGAGAAAAAGTAAGAACTGCTACGACGATTTTAACTATGAACGTTTAAACGGAATTCCTGCACCTATCAATAACGATGACTGGTATTTTTTAAACAGTCCACAAATGAAACCGTACTTCTTATGTGAGGCCTAGCATGGCTCACCACACCATATGGTAGCATGGGATATCCCAAGCCACAACCGATCAAGAACATTTAGGGTCAATGCTGAAATGCGAACAAGATAAGATAACACAGCACATGGTTGTCAAACGTGAAAGCAACTTTCACTCATCTGACTATCCTTGCAGACAGATATCTACTTGACTGATAGGGCAGTGTGCGCAGGCCCTAGTAGCAATAGATATCGAGTAGATATGCGTGAATAGCGATTTATCGAGATATGTATGTCTGTCGCGTAATTGGCCACCTCGCCTAAGCAATCTGGCATTTTATTGGTTGCCGTTCTTTAGTCGTTTATCGCTTGCGCGCACACGCGGGCGCGCCATTATTTCGCGTGAGCGGCGTGGAACGCGTGAGTTGACAGTCCTTGCACTTACTTGCCATTATTCATTTATATCTCTTGTTTGCTACTGTTCTATGTTAACCATGTTAAGGCAGGAATCCCGGAGAACACGATTACGTCGTATTAAGAGGTATGGAAACAAGGCTTTCCAGTAAGTGATGGAAAATAACGCCGTTATACCTTTCAGGAGCGCCAGGAGAACGCCGATGACATTCGAAACCATCCCTTTAGGCGACCAGACAGACGACGGTAATGTGACTTCTTGAACTTATTCTCCGAAAGTGTCATCAGCTAGCGATCAGATGCGTATATTTCTTCTGATATGTAAGCAAATGGCAACACTGCCGTCCACAATCGATGTCACTGAGAGCCACTGGAAGGTTATTTCCAACTACGGGACAAAAGCTTCCGAAACCAATCGGTATGCTACCCAATTTATAACTCCCTCTTGCGTTAGACCTACTGCCTCACATGCCTTGGTGGGCACAATGTAGACGACTGGAAAAGTCGCTGGACAGCTACGTCCTAAGAAAACTAAAGACGTAAGTTTAATTGAGTGCAGTTTATCAAAACTTATTCTGAATTTTAGACAACATCCCAGGAGCTTGTACTGATTGGCGGCATCTGTCAACACAGTGATCACGGAAAGGATTCAGCAAAGCATTGTACATATCTAACTATTTTACTTTTCAATATAATTATTCCACAATAACTATCTCCAAAGTACCTCTGGGTAACAGGGGGGATTAAACACACGACAAGGAATGGATGGGGGATAGAAAAGGGCATTGGGCGTAGCATATTACCCCCCCTTTTCGCCGATAGCGTAGTATCTCGATTAATCGATATCTAATAGATACCTATGTTTGCGTCAAAATAGATATCTAATCGATATATATATGTCGATAAATAGATATCTAATAGATATATACTCGATATAGTTTGCTACTAGGGGGGCACAAACGGCCGCTGAAGGCAGTCAAGGAAAACGGACCACTAGGCACTCACCTACAAGCTGTAAATTGTCAGCATAGCCAAGACTAATCAAAGATAGTAATTTCGGCTGGTCTTTTGTGAGTGCAACGTTATTAGTGGACTAAGTTGGATCGTGAAGTCAAAAACGTTCTGATAATAAGTTTGGGTCAGTTGTTGTGAAAGTAGGAGAAACCGCAAAGTAAAGATCGACTGATGGGATTGTAAAAGTGAGAGATGACTCATACTAGATGGGCAAACATGCAAAGAGAATGCTAAATAAAAACATATTAATTAAAGTCGGAGTGCCCGCCGATGAAAGCATACTTGTACAAAGACTAACACAAATAATGCGCAAATGTCAAGGTCAACACGGCAGTGGTCAATGCTGCACCACAAAAAAAAAGTACTCATTTCTGTCTGGCGATTCATACTCATAAACCCCTATAAATTTGCTGCGTATCAAAATGCAGTTATGGAGTTATCAAACACAACCAGAGCCCTCGGATGCTCATCAGAAGATAATACGAAGTTTTCTAATCTCCTGAAAGAGGAAAGAAACAGGTAGTATGCAAAAGGAGACGATAGGGCCAAAAATGCAATAAATTCAAAGAAGACAGTTGGGTTCACAGGCGGGCGTCGATAAAAGAGGAAAATCCAGTTTGCATGAAGTCAGTGAACTTCATCTTTTGGGGTTCTTGTGTGCATTTTACTTTTTTAAATAAGATGGCATCTATAATTTTACTGAATGCCAAGTAACAAGCATTATGTAGATGGATATATGGGGTTGATCGTGCATAAAGAAACCCAGAACTAGAAATGAACTTCAGTTAAATTTTGGATAATAATAGTGTACTGAATCGTCGTGGTTGTTTAGGAGAGAAAAATGCTATAAGAAAAGGACGGCAATTCAGAGAAGGAGTAGTTTGCTCGAGTAGGGAAGGATTTTGCGGACTCTGTCAGTTAGTCAGTCGTCGGAAATTAGACCCCTGCTACGCGACAATACCATCTGAACGCAATACCACTTCGAGATGCAGAAACGCAGAGAGATCTCGGAGTCTGGGTTGCAGACAGCCTAAAGACTTTTACACAATGTTGTAAGGCGGCCGAGGCCGCAACTTCAATGCTATGTGCCATCAAGAGGACACTCTCCAAAGTCTTCGGCACGTTTGTAAAACCGCATCTCGAATATGCAATTCAGGCCTGGAGACCATGGACGCGTCAGGATTGCGATCTGTTAGAAAGGGTGCAGAGGCGAGCAACGAAATTACTAAGAGGTCAAAGTGCACTGCCATACGAGATCCGCCTAAGTAACCTTAATTTCTATATTCTGAGTTACATGCAGTTGCGCGGAGACTTGATACAAACTTTACGTATTGTGCGTGGCTTGGACTGCGGCCTTCGGTGTGATGGCTTTTTCCAACTCGCCACTACAACTAACCTCTTGGGACATCCCTTCAAGCTACGTGTTCCCCAGGGCAGATTTAATTGGAGAAAATATTTCTCCTCCAACTGTGTCGTTGAACCGTGGAATAACCTGCCCGAGACGGTTGTCATGTCTCAATCTGTAGAGACATTTTAATGTTGGCTCGACAGACATAAGCTGCAGCAACAAGCGGACTATACGACTTTTTAGTAATGAGACCAGTGACATATGTGAATCAATGTCTGCATTCACTTAATACTGAAATTTCTTCACATTTTGCTTATTTATCGATTTTTTATGTACAAATAGGGAGTTCAAAGGCCTAAGCCTATTTCCCTCAAATACACTGAATGACTGACTGACCAAAACTGTATTATTAAATAGATGCTGGACGGATATTTATTCTCTGCTCACCAGCATGCAGAAGACCAACTGAATAGGATATGATTCAAGGACAGTTTTAGTTACTTGTCTCCCTCTCAGTAAAGTCACATAGATCCGTGCTGTATTTTACTCTTTGTGGTTAGATATATGTCCCCGACAGACTAATTGTGTTCTATCCCCAAATTGGGATCCGTACCTGGAGATACGTTACGGATTGTCCACGCTTCGTTTTTCGATTTTTTGACTTTCGGCTAAATTCGTCTTCTTTGTCTCTGAACGACCGGCGTTATCTGATCGAACCTTTCCCTCTTTGAACCGCAAAGGTCATGCTGGCGACACTTTGAACTGTGTATCAAGCAATAACTGCCACCGTATGCGTAGCATTTGGGTCTGGCATACTTTAGGAAAATCCCAGAAACACTTTCGCCACTAACCACATAAGTTTCGTTGGCTGCTGAAAATCGCGTCCGATTATTAAATGAAAAATTTTATGAGACATTGCACTAGCTCCAAGAGACCTTTGTGCAACATGGCGGGTTAACAGAACTTACGGTTGTTGTGAAGGATACTGTTTCTGTGACACCCTCCAAGATTATAGTCCGTCATTTGCATTACAATTGCCATTACCGAACTAGTTGCAAACGCCGAAATGCATGCCTAATCGTTATCAGAAACATCTGGAGATTTAGACACAGCAAAGCTTATGACGAATACTGAGACCGTTCCTTAGCGAAATATTACCATCTTTGGCAGGGTTGAAATTCAGTCTGGTCTTATCGGTGCCGACAAGGCCTTAGGTATCGTTATTGCGGCTAAATTCACTGACCACAGTCGTTGTAGAGGGAAGCAGAAGAAACGGATTAAATAACAAATATGCAATGTGTAGGCAGTCAAAATAACCTAAAGTAATGACGAATGAAAAGCTAACAGGGAGGATTAATTATGGAGGAAATACTGTCAATAGTAGGTCGAATATTTCACCAACTATAAAACCCACAAAAACAAACAGAAATGTGATTACAAAAGCACTCTGGGAATTTGAGATAAATCTGCCATAAAATGAGACACAGAATCCAGGCGAACTCTACTGCTACCTCAGAAAAAATACAAGCAGCAGATATCCAACGCCCTCGATAAAGGCTACCGATGGTGTCGGTATCGCTGGGATTGGGGATAAAGTTGCGTATTTTTTGCTGTTTTTCCGGTCGGTTTTCACAAATGAACAATCTTTCTTGTTCCTTTTGCAGAAGAACTGCCGATCCCAAGCATCAGCAATACACTCTTCGATGAAGATCTTATCGGAAGGGAACGGGGAGACCGAATGAATTCAAGCCTCCAAGACCAGAAGAGATCCCACTCAAGCTTCCATAGGACTTCGCGATCAGCTTCCTCTACCACCGTCTATGATTGTTCGAACGCCATATAACACTGTACCCTTTCCTGTGGTTTGGAAGCTAGCGCACATAAATCCCCTATGCAAGGGTGGTGGCCGGAGTCCTTAACAAACTATCGGCCAATAAGTGTGACAAATATGCTCAACAGTGTTACGGAGAGGGGCCTGAGGAGACAAATGACACAATCTCTAGAAGTTCACGATTTCCTATTTAACATTCCGCTCGGGTTCCGTAATGGAAAATCCCGCACAAAAAATGTGCTGAAATCTTCCCAGAGCTGGGCCCGAGCTCCCGACGACATTCATGTGATTCTCATCGCTTCCATTGACTTCTAGAATAACTCGGACATTGTGTCACACCAGAGACTGTTATGTGTGCTGGAAAGAATAGGGGTCAGGGAAAACTTCCACAAATGGATCGAAAGCCCCCTTGCGGGCCGGCACCAGGTTGTGGGCATAGGTCAAGAGAAATCGGATTCTGCCGTAGTCGAGAATCGCACTCTTCAGCCTTCAGCACTGGGAACCATCTTGTTTCTAGCAAACTTGGACGATTGTGCAAAATATTTAAACTGAAAAGCTACAATGTTTAATGTGAACATAAAAACATCGAGGGTAGTCAGGGGTCCTACCATCGGAAATAGACCGAAGATTAACCTAACTCTGTTTTGAGGAGTGGTCAGGTCATTGACTCGCACGATTCACCTCCGGCAAAAGTGCAATACTTTGCCTAGAAAACGCAGCCAGATTCATAAGCATAAGAAACTGCTTTCTCGACGGTACAACCTTACAGGATGTGGAAGTCCAAAAGGACCCCCACATGTCGACGACGAACTCCTCAAAGCCACCTGCCTATTGCTCGAGAGTGGCAAAAAGCGCAGTGTCCGTACTGTGCACTGTCAAGCGAGCATTTATGGATTCGGAGAGAAACGTCTTCTGCAAGATCTTCGGAACATTCGGAAGACCACAGTTGGAATGCAACCATACAAGCCCAGAAAAATTTTGCGAATCAAGACCGGAACAGTCTCGAAAGAGTACCATGGAAAGTCATGGGAATGGCTAGGATTCAGAGCTTCCTTTTCTACGCATGGGATCTATTACATGAAGTTCGTATTGTGACGCATAAGTTTGGAGCCCGGTTTTTGGGTAATTTGCTGTCACCGCCGACCTCCCAGGTCACCCATTTAAACTGCGAATTCAGCAGGCAAGACTGGATGTGGGGAAGTTCCCCCGTCAGATTCATCATGTCGTAAAATGCCTTCCTCATAGAGGTTGGGATCTCCTCATTAATGGAGGGACATTGACTAATTTATGTCCCGAAATGAAAAAGAGCTATGAGAGCTCGAACTTATACCTTAAGACGCACTCTTAATTTGTCATATTATCATGGGTCCCATTTAAACTATTAACGCCTACATGGTTTCTATGTGCACTATTTGCAC